TCGTGGAGATACTGGTGTTATTTCCTTCACAAGCGGTCACATGCGCGCAATGGTGGACAGTTTTCCGGAGGTGATTCAAATGGATTGCACACACAAGACCAACCAGCGAGTTATATGCAATGTTTCGTAGTATAGTTTTTTTTTTCAGGTTTGAACAGGTATTAACCAGGTATTTTTTCGTACTGCCAGGTACAACTATACAACTACCAGCTTTTCACGATGGTAGCAATGGACCAGTTTGGTAACGGTCAGCCTGTGCAATACTCACTGATTGAAACGAATAGTGACTGGCACATGGGGAAGTGCTTGGATCACTTTAAGCGAGCTAATGAACACTGGAGATTTGTACGAATTGTTATCGTGGATAAGGACATGCGCGAAGTTGAAGTCATTCGCAAGAAGCTCCCGGAGGCTCGTGTATTGTACTGTCAATTTCACGTGATCAAGTGGCTGCACCATATTATAAGGAAGGCTATGAAGTTTGGGCGTACGATGCAGATGTTCTGGCACAAATGAAGCACACAATTACGAACATGACCTACTTTCGAACTGTTGAAGCGTATGCGTTGCATCATGAGGAGTTCAAACACCTAGCTTGTCGAGAAGGCTGCACAGAGCTTTGTGAATATTCTGACAAGAATTGGGATGATTGCTGTGAAATGTGGGTAAAGGCGTATCGTGTGGACTTACCTCACTTTGGAAATCACACAAACAACCGAGTCGAAAGTCTTTTCGGCAAACTCAAGAGACAGTTAAAAGGTCAATTCACGATGCGGGCAAGCCTCAAGGTTCTTCTGGACTACCAGCGCCGCAAGGAAGAAGAGTACAATTCGAAGGTGGAGATGCCTGGCACTTTGCGGGACGCCTCTTCTCCGGAGCAGATGAACGTGGTGTTGGAGATGGGTAGTCGCAGCAATCAAAACGCAATATGGCGTCGCGACAGACCCAGCCGTAGCAGACAACCACTCGTTCAAGGACAACGGCACCACAATCACTGTTCACTACGAACACCACGAGTCCCTTCTCGAGAAAGATGGGTTGGCTCGCGATTGCGAGTTCTCCCAGACGATGAAGCTTCCATGTCGGCATGCTATGGTGTATAGGAAGGCGAATGGTTATCCGCTGATCATCCCATTCTCCAGCATTGCATCGAGGTATTTCCAGGTTTTGAACAGGTGTTGACCAGGTATTGACTAAAATTTGTCGGGATGTACTGTTGGTACTTGTGCAGGTGGTTTGTACAGAGCCGTCTCATAACGGGTAAGCTGGTGGAGGTAAAAAAAAAAGCCTTTCATGGATAAAATATACAAAGCCAGCGTATCTACAAACGCTTTAATATAAGAAGTATCGACGTACTCAGCAGGCGTTTGGGCGAATTAGTGGTGAACTTGTCCAGTTTCCGGACAGTGATTTCAACACAGCAATGGCTCAACTAGAACAGTGGTGGTACAATTTGCGTCACGGCCGAGTGGTGGATACGCAGGATGGCGACGGTGCCGAAAACGACGGTGACCAAAACGAAGATAGATCTGGAGGAAACGCGGAGACTCCTGACGAAACTACCGGTAGTTCTCATGCAGAGACGCAAGCAACCCAAAGTTCTCACTCCGATACAAAACCTACGCAACTTACGACCTCCGCATCGAATGAACCGCTCTGTCAAAACGCAGCCCAGTAGAAACTGAAGCTCTGTGTGGTAATGACAGTAAAGATCGTGGGCCTAAGATCAAGTTGTCAGGAGGTGTTAGGCGTGTCGGTAGGCCAAAGTTGAACCGTGCCGAACAGAAGCAAAAGGCGAAGGTTGCACTCAAAGATTACAACAAAGGGATAAAGCTCCGCGCTCTTCGGAGGGATAGTGATCTCTGTGACGTCGTCTCACCGCTGCAAATCGTTAAGCCAGGCGTACGTGAAATGGGTTGATTCATCGTTACTTTCCAAGTCAAGAGCAAGGGCAACGGAAAGGTGGTAGAATGGCGTAAGGATGATGGTTTCGTTCCCGATAGAGTTCAGTTTCGCCTGGCATAGTCTATTATTGAAGGCGCTTTGTCGCAACTAAATGGTGAGATGGCTAATGAAGAGCGAATTGAGCTTGATAGCGATGGGGAGAGAGAAGAAGACCAAGTCTGCTTTGTGGCTACTATCGAAAAGATTGGACAGTTCACATGAGCTCATCTGGAAGCCATGAAATGGACCTGGAACATGCAGGCCACTTGCCGGGATGCTGTACAATGTTGTACGTGGATTAACAGTGATGTTAAAACTGGTATTGCAGACCCTGTTCCAGCTAGGATCGTGTTCCTCCAGCTTTTGGAGGCTTGGCCTTATACGCAGCTGCGTGGATTCGGGTTTGATTTGGCATATTCAGATCTTTATTGTTTCCGAGGATCGGCCTGGTTCAATGACAACGCAATGAGAGCTTTTGCGGTGTATTTGAGACGGTACAAGAATAATGGAGCGATCGCGCTTCCTCAGAACTCAGGCAAAACAGTCTCTCTTCATGCAAATATGCTAAATCATATTGCTGAGGGTGTCGAGTTGCATCCATACGTGCTGTTACCCGTAAACTTTGGAGGTGTTCACTGGGGATGCTTAGTGATTGACAAAGCTGCTAAAAAGATCAAGACGTACGACAGCATGGGTGGCAAAAAGAATATGAAGTTTTTAAAAGCGATGACAAGTGAAATCATTGAGAAAACTACGGGAGGGGATAAGTTCACTAATACCACAGTGACAGAGCCCATACAGACGGACGGTGATAACTGTGGTGTGTTTGTTTGCCTCTGTTCTGGCCTGTTTAAGTAGCGATGCACCAAGTGATGTGTCAACTACTGGAGTGCTGAAGCTTCGCTGGGCGATGCTGCATGCAATTTTGAAGATGAAGAACTTCTAGTCAGCTGATACGCAGGATTGCTAACTAAGTTCAATACATGGTCAATACCTGGACATAACATGAATGCGTTGAGGACGTTTAACCTTTCGAGCAGCTATCACCTCTGAGTTTTGGTTGGCCCCGAGTCGTTCCGACACAACTGACCATCTCTCACTTCCACTTTTACCCATATTCTGCACATATGAATACTCCAGGTTTCTACCTGGAAAATACCTGTTGGAGTAACTTATGCGAACTTCATAATTTACTTGCATCTGATTCCTTTCTTTAATTCCGAAACCTGAATTAAACCTGGAACCCTCACTACCCCTCCCAAAACCCACAAAAAAAACGGTTTAATCATCAGGGTTAGGGTGGATTAAAGGGTGATAAAACGACTCGTGATAAAACGAGAGTTTTGGTGAGACCAAAAAGTCGTCTCATCAAAAATCTCGTTTGGTGAGCTTTAATTGTCCTTTATTCATCCCCTCATTTAGCAACTGATTTAAATATATCTTCATTTCTGTATACGATCATAATGTACCCTAAAGTAGAGATTTTTCTCTCTGCTTGAAGTTCACGGATCTTGAAAGGTCGAAGGCGAGAGATTGCGCGCGCAAATTTAAACTGCGAGCTTGGCGCTCACTTTGAAATCTGCACCTTTCCTCGCGCTTCAAAAGTGAGATGCTTGTGGTTTAGTATGATGAAATATGCTGACAGTTGTTGTGAGATCTGTACAGAACATGACTTCAAGTAAATCTCCCTCTCTTTGCTCGTAAGTACACTGTGTATGGTGATGGAATATGAAGAGTAACTATCGTTTCTACTATCGTTTCTAGTATAGGCTGCTCATCACGGTAACCAAGAAACGCGCTCGTTCCTTGACTCCGGAGTTCTTCGACCAGGATCCTGCGTCTACATCGAAGCGACAGAAGGAATCGCGGGCAGCCGTCGCCCAAGAAGCTGCAGTCTCCGTCGCCCAAGAAGCTGCAGTATCCGTCGCCCAAGAATCTGCAGTCTCCCCCCCCCCCCCCCCGTTTCCGTGGCTTCGATCGGGGCGGTCGTTCGCGCACCCCCTCGTGATTGAGGCTGCTACTATGGAGGTAGCGATGCTGTCTGATTTTCGGCTCGATCCACAAAACGAGTTCGAAGAAGATCAACTACTGTCTAGTCAGTCGACAATCACCGAACCTTCGCCTGCGACGACACCTCGCCCTCGTGTGCTGAAGCCTAGGCCAGCGAGTACGGGGTCGAGCCAAACGACCACCACAGAACCGTTCACTGCGTTTTCACCTGTACCCGCCGTCTTGGGCGACCGGGTGGCTGGGCTTGAGCCCGTTGTGGGAATGCACACTCCCCAGGCCACCAGTAGCTCGCAAGCTTCGACGTGGAAACTCCGTGGACTCCGGAGGGAACTCACGCCCACGAGCTGCGGCAGTTGGGCATCGACCCAAAGAAGGTCCCCTACTGGTTCGTGGAATGCTGTGAATCGGATGGATACGATACCGACGCGCTGGTGGTGCTGGCGAGAACTGCGCCTCTGTCCCCGGGCGAGTCCACCACCTCTTCACCTGGTTTCGAGTTAGTTGGGGACACGAATGTGCACTCCGCACGAGACGAGTGGGTTCTGGACAAGTGGCCACTCGGCTTTATGTTTCTGGAGAGCAACTGGAACCCTCACAAGTGGAAGTTTCCTCCTGTGTCGATCGGCATCAACGGCGGCGCAGGATGTGGATGTACGGTGCGATGCAACGCACTTTCGTGTGAAAAACGCGCGAAGCGCGAGATTCTGCACGTGGCAGAACTGCTCCTTCGACGGCGACTGCGGCAACGCGCTTAATGAGAGCAAAGCGCTGGCAATTAGCCGCAATACTCGAACGGGAATGCGAGGGATCACTGCAACTGCACCAATCCCTGCGGGTGAGATCATTGGGGAGTACTTGGGCGAGCTGGATATCTTCGGACCTCCCTGTAAGTACGGACCAGTCAACGAGGGTTATCGCATGCACTTGTAGACAAGGACAACGGGTAACAAGCACGCCGGCATCGACACAGTTCACGCCGGAGGGAAGGTTCGACTAATGAATCACTCGTGCAAGCCAGCAGCTCGGTTCCACGAGGTGCAGACCGGCCGTCACCTGAGCGTGGTGGTGGTAACAGTGAGAGACGTGTACCCTGGTGAAGAGGTCACGGTTTCTTATGGAAATCATCTCTGGTTTGTGTGCCGTTGTGGCTGGTGGCGGTGCCAGCACCGTGACATCCAGCATCTCAACGACATGCCTCGTCAGTAAGGTAACTCGGCCAAGGGCGACGAAGTGTATTCTTGTAATGGCTTGGCGATCTTCCCGAGGTTTTTCATTTTCATACATAGTTTGTATCAATGAAAATATAGCTTCAACCTGAGGTTAAATGTGACTGTCCTTTTAGCACTTTTTCATTTACGGTTCTTCCCCTTGAGGTCTTTGTATCCAAGACACTCGCAGATGTCTAAGGTGAGCTCGCTATTACGCCTAAGTATTAACTAGCACGTTCCGAGGATTTGAGGCCTAACGTGTAGATACATATTGCTGTAGAGAGGGCGTCGTACCGGTTACACGAACTATTCCGTTCAGAAGCAAATGTTGCTATGCCATGTCATAGAGACTGTAAAACCCACAGGGCGCAACATGTGGGAGCAGACCGCAAGACTGTACAACAGTCAACGCAGCAGTAGCTGGGCCGAGCGAGACTTCGACTCTCTCCGT